TACGGAGACTTTCCTGAACATGATTGGTTTCTCTCCCATCATCTATTTCCTCTGCAATTTCTCTCGAGCAAAACCCTAATTTCAGGTTTTGGGGCTTTCTTCTCTCACTGTAAGCATGGCCAAATTTTCAATGTACTTATATATATAGACTTGTATACATGTTTCAAAGCTTTCGAATTTCCACTATTGTTAAAATCAAGGGTTTTCAAATTTTCCTTTGATTTTTGACATTAGCGTTTTCCAAGCTTCTCTTGCTGTCTCTGAATTTGTACGCACCCTTAATTCTGTATACTTACACCGATAGACTGATATGTTGTAGCATCATGTTATTGTAGAGAGCTCTTGGTTGATTTTTCTGTTCAATGGTTATGTGTCTTATTGGATTATTATTAGTTCTGTTGTGCAAACTCTCTTCTGTTCTGTCTCTTCACACTCCTTAGCTTATTGTTTCGATTTAGTTTCTGAATGTGTTCGTTGATTCTGGGGATTATACGATTTTACCTAGGAATTGGGTTTTGGGATTGTAATATGATTGACCGTCTCACTCAAAGCATGAATTTTTAAGCTGCTTAGCGAGTGCTCAATTTCTGATTTTTAGTTTTGAAAATCTAGTGATTTGGTCTGCTAAACAATGCAGGTCAATATTGATGAAATTTGTGATTCAGTGATTAGAATGAGTGGTAACGAGCAGTCACGATCTGGCTCCGGCAATGGAATCGGCAATGGCAACGGTGAGGGTATTCCAGATGATTTACGGTGCAAGAGATCGGATGGTAAACAGTGGAGATGTACTGCAAAGTCCATGCCGGATAAGACTGTATGTGAGAAGCACTACATCCAGGCGAAGAAACGGGCTGCTAATTCGGCTTTCCGGGCGAACCAGAAGAAAGCGAAAAGGAGATCCCCATTGGGCGAGACTGATACATATTCGGAAGGGAAGACGGATGATTTTGGGATACCTATGAACAGCATTGAGGACTATGGTAACGGTCTTGCCTCCGCTTCCAAGAATAATAGTATTAGAGAGAAGAGACCTAATAAAAGCCTGATTCACTCGTGTGAGACACCAATATCGAGGAATGGCTCTCCACGTGTTGCAGTGGATTTGAACGATGATTTGGCTGGAGATGCTGGAATGTTTGAAGAGCCCCACAGATCCTATAGGGCAGCACCATCTGCTTCTATAATGGACCCGTCACGCAACAGATCGCTCCAAAGCATGAGTCCGATGGTACTTTAATTTGTAGTTTCTCATTGGTTAGGCAGAGAATATGTGTTTGTGTGAAGAGAATATTTCGGTGATCGACATATTAAGATTAACTGTTTTTATGTGTTGTAGGAATACTCAACAGAGAGTACAGATGTGTCTGCAGAGTCCTTGGGGCAAGTTTGCCATCAATGCCAAAGAAAAGATAGAGATAGAATAATTTCGTGCCTCAAATGCAATCTAATAGCCTTCTGCGACACTTGTATATCGACAAGGTATTCTATTTATATCAGGATTCTGCAAAACCTCTCGTAGAAATAGTTCAATGTATGGATGATGTCTCGTGCTTCTGAAGGTACTCGGAGATATCACTTGAAGAAGTCGAGAAAGTATGCCCTGTTTGTCGTGGTTTGTGTAATTGCAAATCTTGCCTGCGTTCTGATAATACAATAAAGGTGTGTGTGATCTTGTATATCGATAGATTCAAACCATTGCTACCTATTTTGGTGATAAAATGTAGGACCATGAGATGGCTCTTTGTGAAAAATTGCAGGTACGGATCCGGGAATTATCCGTTTTGGACAAGATGCAGTATCTTTATCGTCTACTATCTGCTGTCCTTCCAGTGATAAAGCAGATCCATCTTGATCAATGTACAGAAGTAGAACTAGAGAAGAGGCTTCGTGGTGAGACGAGTTTTTATGTACAGGGACGATTGATGTATTTATATAGACTACTAAAATTCTTTGCAGTTAACACTAGTTTGTTTTACACTGTAGGAGCTGAGATTGATCTTGTCAGGGCAAGATTGAAAGCAGATGAGCAGATGTGCTGGTATACTCCTCTTACATGCCCTTACTTGATTAAATTTTTCTATCTGAAAGAACTTAAATACTACAATTATGTCTTTTGGGAACTTTGTATTATCGTACACGTTCTTACTGAAGTTTGTTTCGTGCAGCAACGTGTGTCGGATACCAGTTGTTGACTATTACCGTCATTGTTCTAACTGCTCGTATGACCTATGCCTGCGATGCTGTCAAGATCTACGCGCAGAGTCTTTGGTTGAGATTAGCGGGACCAACCAAATTATAAAAGACCAAACAGACGTTCCGAAACTAAAACTAGACTTTTCATACAAGTTTCCTGAGTGGGAAGCCAACGGTGATGGGAGTATCCCCTGCCCTCCTAAGGAGTATGGAGGTTGCGGTTCCCGGTCTTTGAATCTTGCTCGCATTTTCAAGATGAATTGGGTTGCAAAACTTGTGAAAAATGCAGAGGAGATGGTTAATGGCTGCAAGGTATCTGATCTTCAGAAACCTGAATTGTGTGACTCCAGATTTTGCAAATTTGCTGAGAGAGAGGAGAGCGATGACAACTTCGTGTACAGCCCATCGCTTGAAACAATTAAATCTGATGGAGTAGCTAAGTTTGAGAAACAATGGGCAGAGGGTCGGCTTGTTATTGTAAAAAAGGTACTTGATGAGTCATCTTTCTCTAGATGGGATCCTGAGACTATTTGGAGAGATATAGACGAGATTTCAGATGAGAAATCGAGAGAAGATGATCCATTCTTGAAGGCCATAAATTGCTTGGATGGGTCAGAGGTAAATTTCTTTGTTCTTCATATCTTCATATTGTTTCATGTGGAGTCACAGATTCACTAGTGTTCATATTTTGATTCACAGGCTGATGTCAGACTTGGAGAGTTTACAAAAGCATATAGAGATGGAAGAAACCAAGAGACTGGTCTTCTTCCGCTATTGTACAAGTTAAAGGACTGGCCGAGCCCAAGTGCTTCTGAGGATTTCATTTTCTACCAAAGACCTGAGTTTATCAGAAGATTTCCATTCCTGGAGTACATACATCCCCGGTTAGGCCTTTTGAACGTTGCAGCCAAGTTGCCTCATTACTCGCTCCAAAACGATGCTGGTCCAAAGATTTATGTGTCTTGTGGGACATACCAAGAAATGGGTGCTGGTGATTCATTGACTAGTATTCACTACAGTATGCGCGACATGGTACATTACTCAGCTCTTGGATTATTATACATCACATTTTTCTTATTTTGGTTGATGAAAATTGATTTTCACACTTGCACACACCTGACTCTTTGTATTTTGGATTCGGGATATCTCGACCAGATTCATGATTTTTGCAAACAAATATAATGAGTTGAGTCGTTGCAACTGTTAATCAGGTTTACCTCTTGGTGCACACATCTGAAGGAACAAAATTCGAAAGGGTGAGAGAGACGAAACCCGGTCCAGGAGAAACCGACGAGAAGATGGGTGAAAATGAGTCACTTCCTAGTCCTGAGGAAAAATTAAAGGATGGAGAGTTGCATGATCTAACACTTAGTAGTGTAAATACGGAGCAGAATGAATCTGAGATGATGTTGACTGTGAATCCAGAGAACATAACGGATCACGGTCACAACTTGGAATCTTCTTGCACGTCATCAGGTGAAGGAGGAGCCCAGTGGGATGTCTTTCGACGCCAAGACGTCCCAAAGCTAGCCGAGTATCTGCAGAAAACATTCCAGAAGCCTGATAGTTTTAAGACTGATTTTGTGAGTCTTCTTACTCACTTAATCATCAATACATTAAATGTGAAACTGAAAGTCGTCTTTTTGTACGTCAAATAATTGAGTTTCCTACTTTGTTTACACCGTTTTCAGGTGTCAGGCCCGTTGTATGAAGGATTGTACATAAATGAGCACCACAAGAGACAACTAAAAGACGAGTTTGGTAGGAAAAATAAAATTTATGCTCTATGTTCTCTTTCTAAACGCTTATTGCATCGGAACCATGGAATCCTGAGGGATGACTCTTACTATTGTTTCAGGAGTTGAGCCATGGACGTTTGAGCAATGTCGCGGTGAGGCTATCTTCATTCCGGCTGGATGTCCGTTCCAAGTCCGGGATCTTCAGGTAAGAAAATATCTATGCAACATAAAAAATCCACCAGTTTCTTTTCCCTTGCGCTTAACTAAGAAACTAAATTTTGCTCGCACATATACAATTCTCAGTCGAATGTTCAGGTGGCACTCGACTTCTTGTGCCCTGAAAGTGTTGGAGAGTCAGCAAGACTAGCTGAAGAAATCCGGTGTTTACCGAACGACCATGAGGCCAAAATTCAGATTCTAGAGGTAACAAATATTTGATTCCTCCCCTTTCCCTTATAGCAAACCATTGTCCATCTCAGTTCTAAAATCCTTGACAATGGTTTCGGATTTATTATCAGATTGGAAAGATATCGTTATACGCAGCTAGCTCAGCGATCAAAGAGGTTCAGAAACTGGTCTTGGATCCAAAGTAAGTCGAAAGAATTTAAGCCAAAACTGATCTAAGGAGTGTGAAGTGATATTGAACTGATTTGGTTTCATTGTCATGATTGCAATAGATTTGGAGCAGAGCTTGGTTTTGAGGACCCAAATTTAACAAAAGCAGTGTCTCACAACTTGGACAGGGCAATGAAGCGGCCGCAGCAAATCAGCTGCACTTGATCAGTCCAGATTTGTATAGTATAAATTATTGTTGTGAGTCGTGACTTTAGTTTAGATTACCTACTATTCAGGATTTGTATGTATCTATGTGTATATGCTTTACAAATCATATTCATGACCATCATCGTTGCACTTCAATTCTCTGTACACAGACCATATAAAGAGTTGCTTAAATAACTCCCCAGCAAACCGAGCTATTTACTACCCAAGGAAATAAAAAGAATCTTAAATTGGGAAAATCCAATGTAATGTGAAGATATTAAGAATTTGAGATTTTCCCATCTGATAAAAGTTAATTCTAATAGC